CCCCAAAACCCCAAAACCCCAAAACCCCAAAACCCCAAAACCCCAAATAAGATCTTTTATATGAAATATAAAAATACTTTATATAGCAAGCTTTGGTTTATAAGCTTTAAAGCTAATTCTCAAGGATTTGTGAAGACATAGAGAATTCTGCAACACTTGGGTGCCTTAAAAAAGAAATTTCAAATTAGGGAACTTAAAATATATACTTTAATGACCTAAGGTATTATAGATCCCTTGTTGACAATATAAAAATCTTTGATTTCTGCTTTAATCACTCCTATAAACCTTTTTCTATTCCAAAAAAAAGCAAGCTCCCAGTTATTTTCTACCAAACAAGATTCTAAAACCTCTAGTACAGCCCAGCTGAACTCCCTCATCCTAAAGATATCCTCCGATTAAAATTACTTAAGAAACAGGTTATTGGGCGTCCTCATCCGAACTATCTCCGTCCTTTTCTTTTTTCTTCTTATCACTATTTGCTTTAGCAACCATGGAAAGGATGATCAATATGACCACTATTTTGATGAAGATCCTCAATAGTACGATAAATAATTCAGTAGCATGAATGGTGTAATCATAGTCTCCCATACTGGCCTTCTCTACTATAAGCTGGGTATTGTAGATTACAAAGAGGCTTAATCAAGCAAGAATTAGTATGTTGTACTGGAGGTAATCAACCAAGCTAATCTCAAAGATCCATGAAATTAGATACGTGGTAGAAATACCCAGCCAAATAGACCCAATGAAACCTCCAATGAAGAGCATCTTTCTTCTCTCAGTTGTAAGGCTGAAGAATGTAAAGGTACCAAAGAGAGATCCAGTATATACTAGAGCATTAGTAACAATAATAGGGTCTACCTCTGCTGCTCGATCCACTAATGGCCTCAGGCCTATCCCACTTATGAATGAAATAGCAAAGAATCACGCTGATTTAACAAATTGGTCATTGTTTCCTCCCTTCTTCAGCATTACAAATGCTAATGCTAAAATTAATCCAACACAGAGACAAGAGAACAAAATTTCTTCAACAATGAGCTTAGTAACACAAGAAGGCGTCCACATACAAGCTGTGGCTGCACATAGTCATCCTATTCACAGAGTTGCATAGACTTGTCATAAATGCTGCCTAACTCTTGGTGAGATATCCGTGAACTGCATTACAGTGTCCTTCTCTTGTTTGGTAAAGAATTCCATCGCCTTTACAAATAATTTAATTTATTTATGTTCAAAAATAATGGCTCTAATAGGGGTTTTGGGGTTTTGGGGTTTTGGGGTTTTGGGG